AAAAAACATAGACATCGATTTCTTTACCTAAAAAACGCGCACGCACACACATCACTCTTAATCCCATTGTTCTTCAGAAAGCAAAGAGAAACATACAGCAATGCACAGGACAAGACTTTCACAGTTTCTACAAAAACCATTTCTACATGAAAATTGTCAGTTACACAGAGGGGGGGGGGGGGTCATTTAGGCACAGCAAAAGCAATAAGATGTGCATTTTAACAACAAGAAAAATAAGAGAATAGTATTTTTTTTTTTTTTACACATTTCATAAATTCTCAGAGGCTTCAATGGACTGAGTGATTACAACAAATCTGTGGTGGAATGACTTGTCTTGAATTCTTGTTCCCTATTGACAGAAGTGATGGTGTGCGTTCAGAAAGGGTACAGTATGCATCAAAAAATGTCTGAATGTGAGTAAAGACTCAGTTCATTTGGTTACCCCTGTATACACGTTTTCTGTATATCAACTCTTCATGTACATATACACATTTTTATGATTTTGCAGAGCATGGGACAGGCACATTTAATATAAATGTAATCCCAAGTCAGTCAGAGGAATGGCTATTCAAGCATTTTCAGTCTATACACATCTCAATTGGTCTCCTTCGATGATTTAAAATAAAAATATACAAGTAAAACACATACAGACAACAATACTGACGGTTATCTGAGCTGTTTTAGCTCTTTAGTAGGTTTGCAGTTCAAGTTCAGAAATGTCGCCTACACCTCTGCACACCAACATGACTACATTCTCTTTGGATAATCTTGTGCTCAGATAGAGACAATCTGAAGATTTCTCACCATCTCTTGCTCAATTACCGGTACATTTACTTCATCAGCTGTACTGAGAAAAAAACAAGATAGCTCTTTGACAGGATGTAGCACACGAAGCTTTGCACTCTACATACAAGTGCTGCTGAGTAGTAGGCTGGTGTTTGCATTTGACTCATTTTTTAAAATGGTTTAACTCCGTATCTTATAGAAGCTTAAGGGAGACACACTAAAGAACACACACCAAAAATACAAACAGAACTCAGACATATTGCTGGCATTTAAGAGTCGATTCTCACAAAAGTACTAATTTGTAAAAACATTAAACTAATGAATGGTGTCTTTGAATCCTAAATGGCCCTTTGTGTTCAGAAACTTTTACTCAAGTGAATCTGCTAATACTAGTTCTGGAAATTAGAAGCAATTAAAATCACCAAAGCATGAATTGTAATTTTTCATCTGGGTTTAATTTGTATCAAAGCAGAGTTAATAGTGATGATCATGGTATTATCTGGAATAAAAGTGGTCACATTAACCTTTTTTATGTATCGAGACTCAACAATTTACCATCTTTGACTTAAAACTTGACCTACTAAATTTAAATAATAATAATTTTTATGGACTTATATGGATTAGCTAAATGGATTATAACAGTTTTGAGGGGGGACATACTGTTACAAGAGAATGTTGTATACATACAGCAAATTCTGTTTATCCCGTACAAGAAACTCACAGATACGTAATCCAAAGAGGTAGGATGATTGGAAAATGTAGGATTTTGTTTGACTCACCTGACAGGTTTACAGAGAAATTTAATTACCGTACTTTCCGCCGTACAAGTCCCACCACTGTATAAGTCATATCAGTCCAAATATGTCTAATAAAGTGGAAAAAAACATAAATAAATCGCTTCGCCGTATAAGTCGCATCTATTATGCGTCACCGTTGATGCGTCGCTTTTGTTACGCGTCACCGCTGACAACCCGGAAACGTGGGCCGGTGTTGTGCCAAAAATTGATTGCCTGCCAAATGGTGGCCGCGGGAGCGTGCATGCGAGGACTTTAACAAGAATTTAACAAGATTAACACTTTAAAACAATCGTTTGCTTGACATTATAGTAAATGTGTGTCTCAGTTTAACTTTTCCTTAATAAATGCACTATATTGGTCAAATCAGCTGTATTTTAAAAATCGATTTGCAGGAGCACGCAGAGGGAGGAATCGCTGTGCATTTCATTGAAATTTAACAAGATTAACACCTAAAAACAATTATTTGTTTGCTCGTCATTATAATAAAGGTGTGTCTCAGTTGAACTTTTTCTTAATAAATGCACTTTAATGGTCAAATCAGCAGCATTTCACCTGGGAAGTGCAGCGAAATATTGTGCATATAGTGCATATTCATTTGACGTTTGCTCCAGGAGTTCTGGAGCGAGACGAAGGTGGCTGTGTATGGCAATCCAAGTTTCCCAGTAATAGCCACTTTTACCTATTAATGAGATGCTTGGCTTGCCATATAGGTCGAGGACCCTCTAGCGGCTGAAAATGGTAGTGTTCAATATTTTCCATGTCAGAATGAATGAAATTGTCTGATCTCAGCTAAAAATTGGGTTATAAATATGGGGGAAAACGTATAATAGTTGCTTCGGTGTATAAGTTGCAGGACTTGCAAATTTATGCAAAAAGGTGCATTTAAATGGCAAAAAATATGGTAGAGATTTGATGGGCTCCTGGGGGTGTGGTCTTTTTTTTTTACTGTATCTACTTAACTGAGGGGATGATTATAGCCTCAACCTGTTCTAAAAACTTAAAAGCAAAATAAAATCTTAATTCTGATCAGCTTCCAAATGTAGTTACCTGACCTCAGAAAGACCCAAAGGAAGTGACAACAAGCACGTCGCTAACAGAAGAAATACAAAAACATCTAACAAATATGGATGTTTTTCTTATCTCAATCAAAGTTTGTCACTAAAAACCTATAGCCAAATTGAAGTAATACTTTATTAAATTGGTAGTATCTGTACTAGAAGAAAAAAGGTCTTGAAGTGTCAGGTGAAGTGAAAACTTCCTGCGTCCTTTGAATTCATATAACATGGAAGAACAATATAATGAATCCTTTAAGTGGATCATCTCTGATTGTAATATCTCATTTTGAGGCAAGTAGAAAACATTTACCAAGAAATATAGTTCTGTTTTGCAGGATACAATCTACTCAGGGCTTCACTCAGCCAATAAACAGCCAGTAGATTGTTTAGTGGAGCATTCTGACATGTAACTAAAACATGTAGAAGGACTATAACAAAAGCATGTTTTGTATTACCAGAGGAGTAATGAAATGCTTTAACCTCCTTCAGCTGTCCTTATGCGTTAACAGGAAAGGACAGAAACACCATTACTGTCACTGAGTTCAGCATGTTGTCTCGTTTCAGTTTGAGAAGACAATTCAGTTTGACCTTGAGGTGTTTTGAAGGAGTTTCTGTGAGATGCATCCCAAAAGGGAGCCAACCCCTGCAGAAAAACACACTTTAAAAGCCATTCAAAAAAAGAAAAAAGAAAAGCTGCAAACCTTTTCATTAAACATACCATACATAGAGACAGAAAAATGTCAGATTCCTGCGTAATTTGAGGCTGGTATGTCGTTTCAAACACTTGACGTCCGACTCTGTGCCAACAGCTGAATCAGCCACAGTGACGCTATTGCTTCATATACAGCAAATATTAAGAAATGATTGCTGCTCAGTGGCAAGGAATTTAGCTTTGTGTCAAATTGAGAAACTTTTTATCTTCAGTGCGAAAATGCACTAATCACAGTGGAGATGGCATTATGGCGCATGTGTTTGTGAGTTTCTCTCTGCGTGGAGGCAGACGTGTTTGTTTGCTGTGTACATGTTTGGATAAGCCTTTGTCTGGATATACGGCTTCCCGTGTGTGTGTGTGTTTGTGTCAGCTCAGATAGATTTTGATTCTAAACCACCGGGGTATCTCAATCCCACAATGCATCGAGAGAGGTGCCAAATGAGGAAAGTAGCATTAGCTACAGAGATGAGTAACCACAGTTTGTAGGCTAAAAAAAGTGCTTTTCTTATTATTATGGGGTCTGTATAAGTTCATTCTTCTTACAGACACAATAATAGAACTTTTCTCAGAAGAAAAGAATAATGGGAACAGAAAAAACAAAAACTTCTCATTCTCTTTTTTGTTTATAAACTGATGGAGTCCACTATCTTTGCAAGTTAATAAAATAAAAACCAAATGTTACACCACTTTTTGTTAAGTAAGCCTATTTTTAGAGGCAATATGTCTTCGTAGATCCTCCAGTAGGTCATAAAGATAGTCTTGATAATAATTGTACTCTTGAAACTTGATGTGCACAGCTAAATTCACATCTTATCAGTTACTACCAGCAGTTACAAGGATTTGGCAGCAACCAGTGAGAAAAAAAACGAGAAACTAAAGTGCTCACAGTAGATCAGGCAGTATGGCAATACTGTTGAAAAAAAAAAAATAATGATTTGCAACAAGAGAACTGAAGACAGCATAATCACTGGCTGCAGTAAGGTGAACAGGATCATATTAATGTCTTGGCATTTAAATTTTTATGCTTCAGTAAATTCAACATATTTGTACATTACCAGTACCATAATTTAATCCATGTATACAGCCACAATTTGGATAGTTGGTCAATTTACTGCTTCATATAGACATCTTGTAAACATATTGAGTCATCACAGATAATGAATCTCTTTGAAAGCCCGTTTGACTGCATAAAGATGAGGCAAGCAAGTAATTTTGGGGTTTTGTGTGGATCAAAGATACTGAGTGAACTTAAGATTTTGCTGTGATCAGCGAATCGAATGGACAAAAAATTGTGTTTGACTTATGACTACTGTGCAGCTGCTTCATCCATCTTAAAGCTGCTGTCATCCAAGTGTGGGCTTTGTGGCTGCATATTTTGCATTACTGTTTGCTTATATTACTAAATATTGTTTACTTGCTCACAGTGGAAAAACAAACAAACAAACAAAAAACATCTTCCATTTCCCTGTAGCCCTTCATTGCAAAGTCTGGAACAAAGTCTAGCTTACCATACCCAATACAACCAATCATAGTCCAGTGCAACAGGTTGTTGCACGATATAGATGAGGAAAAAAGGGGTAACGAAAAAGATCGACCCAAGTTTGGAGTCTTTATGAGATGTTTTCAAGCGAGTTTAGTCCTATTGGTCATCTTAAAAGCCTCCACTACTGTAGGCCCAGCAGCTGAATGCTGATTTCCCATAAACTGAGCTGAAGCTGGGGGTCCAACGATGGTGGTGTTGTCACCTCCCTGTGCCCGTTGGCCCAGTAGCCTCCTCTACAGTCCCCATCCAGTGCTGGTGACAGAGCAGCCGACAACACAGTGGCAGCGCCCTCTACAGGAGTCTAGGAAAACCACAAGAACACAACATCCAAGATACTGTGAATCAAAAGTAAACAACCAACTAAAGAATTAGGGATTACATGATAAGGAATTATTTGTATAAAATGTATGCATTTATATGTGTGCGAGAGAAAGAATGTCACTGTTAGACTAACTGACTGAGTGTGCAGATGCATGCATGTGTGTGAGAAATGGGAGTTGCTGCAGTTGAATGTTCTCAATGTTAGCGGTGACACCGAAAGGTTTGAGCTGAACACATCCTGAGAGCATCAACAGCACACTTGTATGAAAATGTAAATGTCGCAGTACCTCAATAATCTAAAAACATAAAATGTAGTCATTTATAAGAATCATTTTGTCAAGAGCCTGTTTGTCTGCATGACAAATGGCAGCATTCAATTTGTTTGTTCACACATACTGTAGATGGCTTTTAGTGCTAAGAGAAAGACTACCAACAGAGCATTTTGAGACTAAATATATAAGTTAGGTACTTATTACAGCTCACCTGTTACTGTGCTGTTTGGCCGTCCTGCTTTGCGTACAAAAAGGCTGCAACTGTTAAATTTACACTTACTTCCTCTGAATACTGTTGAACTGTCGAAAATATGCTACTAGATTAGTCTATTTTTCTATGTATTGGTAGTTTTGAAATGATCATCTGTGAGGTATCTGATATTTATATATACTTTTTTTTTTTTACCTTATTTCATTTTACTACAGTAGCTCAGTAGTACCCTTTTTAGGATTTAAATATTTAGGTCATTTTATATTTGCATCTGTGAGATTCATTTCTTTTGAGTTTTTAAATTAATACTTTTGGGGTTGATTTTATTCAATGCTACTGACTATGAATAAAAATATACTGTATATTAGGTAATATGTATATGTGCAAATAATTTTTCCTCTGCGCTGGCTTGTTCAAGCTGTATCAAACTGTGTGTTTTAAAGCACCGGGGAAAATGTCATGCTGGCATAATGAGAGTCTCAAATGTTTAAATATAAAAATAAACAAATTAAAATGTCAACCCTTTAGAAAGCAGTTGTATTTAAGCCACAAGTAAGTTACGAGTTACAGCAGCTTCAACCCATTTCAGTGCAGTTTGATATTTTGGTCAAGAACATGCGGCATGTTTAGTGATTCCATATTTGGAGACACTGTTTTTGCATTGAAAGTATGTTCTTTATGAGTTTAGCTTTCTACTTCAGGAATTTAGTTCGTGTCGTCTCCCTCACCTCTTTGCCTCATAATCGTTATTTTATTTAGATCAAAATGGCTCACTGCAATCAGGCTTTTCGTTTAGCACCGGTTTTATTTCTTACTGATGTGAATGGGCCATTAGAGAGGAATTGTACCCACAGGAAACACCAAAATGAAAAGTGGGCACAGTTACAAAAAGTGCAGCGCCAACATGGCAGCATTTAGTTGCCAAGGAAACTAAAAAAATACTCAACAAAGAAAAGAAAACAGCAGTATAGGAATCAAGTGGATGTTTAAAATTAATAATATTATAGTCTCAGTGGCCTTCAACTATTCATGTCACCATAAAGAAAACCCAGTTAAAAAAATGAAAATGCAATGCAATAATATGGCTTTAAATAACAATATACGTTGTTTGTGAACAGTTCTTCAAAATGTCATTTGTTAAGTATATCATTCGTATGCTTTAGAAGTAATTTTCATATAAATGTGCAAAAATAGATGCAAAAATATATATTTTTAAAAAACTAACAAGAAAACTGATTCATGTCATATCCTTATTACTGCACTCTATGCAACTTGAATAAAAATTTGCATTGAGACAATTTATCACACCGAGAAGTTCTTTACCCTAAAAAGCAGACGAGCGATTAGACTTTGTGCCATACGGAGTGGGGTCCAGAGATGGCAATACAGAGCAGTGTCCACCATGCCAGGATCCACAGCACATGATCTTACTGGAGTACGTCCACGCTGCATCTCTTGATGAAGGTGGGAACTGAACAACAACTGGGCCAGCTTACTGTTACAATATGCAGCATGAGCTGAATAATGCTGGCTGAAGAAAGAGAAAGAACAAAAAAATGTATTAGACTTTTAACAGAAAACTTGAGTAAACAGCTCCGCTTTGTTTTGGTCCACTTTTAATAGGGCACGACTTTTGCTATAATATCAGAAAACTTTTTTTTTTCTTCAGTTTTGCTTAGAAACAGCAAAAAATAAGATGCGATCCTTTTCAGATTTCTGTTCCTTTCAGTATAAGTATATCATAACATCAGAGTGTGTACCTACCAGCAGTTTAGGTCATTTAGCTTGATCTCCCCAATGCAATGAGCTGATGATGAAACGTTGACCACGGTGGAGACATAACCACATCTCCCAGAGTCCTTCAGTGTATCCAAGAGAAGCCAGGTCAACAGAAAGTGGCCAAGGTAGTTCACACCAAAGTGCTGCTCAAATCCATCTTCTGTACGTCCCTCAGGTACGAGCATTACACCCGCTTAAACACAAACCAACATGAACATACAAGAGTGCAAAATGAATGAAAGCAAATGTATATGTGCATGCAGTTTCAATTCGACAATAATTAAAAATAAACAAAATATAAGACAAACAAAGAACTGTAACAGAATTCTGGTGGTGAGTGGTCTACATTAGCAGTAAGTCTCATTGAGGTCGTGATAAGACGACAGCCCTCCTGCTGTGTCCCCTTATATTTCCAAAGTCTGGGCAAAAAGACGTAAAGAAACACTTAAACGTACTATAAAAACTACATCTAACTGCTTAAAACATCTAATTTTTCTGCCTGTGCATGAAGACATACATGACCCATCACATCAAACAGAGGATTACGTAACAAGGTAGTGTTGTGAGATACAGCCAGCTAGAACACATCGGCTGAAAATTTTGATTTATTTTTTGGGGGGTTTGGTGGAAATATGATAAATACCTTATCTATTGGTCCCTTGAAAGAAATGTTTGATATATGATCCTAAAGAGCACTTTTCTGACAAGTCCAAACCACTAACGATGATTTTAAGCAGAAAAGTCAACTGACTATACTTTCCCTGTGCACTAGCAAAACTATTTTCAATGCTAGTTGAGAAATCTCTATAGAGGTTTCCCTTTTCAAATGACACAGAGCAATCCATGTTGGAATGTGTTAAAAACAAGATTCAGATCAATTTTGAGGGGTTGTTTCTGAGTAGCAAGAAAATTCAAACCGTGTCTCTGGAACCACTAATGAAATCAGGATGATCTGGGAATCAAAACACAGCTTAAAAAAGGCCAGGAGTCTGAAAATATGCTTGGTGTGGTTTGACCAAATATGACTTGATCCCTGATTGTATGTGATCGGTCAGATCTGCAGTGAAATGGAAAGGTATGTCAAAATAGGAGGAAATTGTGTATGACACTTTGAATAGCCATTTGCGTTTGATTATTACTACCACCTCCATACTGCATACGTTTCTTCTCATTCCGCTCCTTGTTGGTTTTAAAATGTCGAGGCGCTTAATGAGTCTAACTACGCTGATTATGTTACACATCAAACAAGGATACCAGAAATTCACCATTACTTGCAACATCCCAAGAGTCAAATGGCACAAAGAGACCTCTGGCTATAAAGACAAAACACTCATTACCTCCAGGTCAGAGACAAAGACAAAGCCATGCCCTACCTTCATACAATTTGCTGTGTTGTCAAATCCAATTCAGCAGGACAAGAGTAAACAACTACTAGATATATTATGAGGTTTTCACTTCATCACTCAGGTTCCCACGTTCCCCCCCTGCCCAGGTTTAGATAAAAAGTCTTCAGATCAATATAATTTAGAGAGGTCATCCTAAATTATGACAAAGCCACTTCTTAGCATTACCAAACCAAACATTTTCATGCGAGTACACATAAATCTACCAGCAGCAATCAATGAATAGTATCAATAAGTTAAAAGGTCCTGGCAAGTTTAAAACGGCACTGAAACTCGGAACAAATTAGCTAATAAGCTATGCTGGTGTATTTCCTTCATTGAGTCTTCATATATTTTGCCCTCACATCATGTTTATGAAAATATGTTCCATTATGGGCACTGGATGAAAATTAGCCATTGTGTTAAATCCACATTTATATTGTTTTAAATGTTAATTATCTGTAATGTGCACTGTCTTTTTAAATAAATAATAAATAACTAAACTTTCTATAGGTTTCTCTTGTAAATGAGTCATTGAGGCTCAATGAGACTAACCTATATAAATAAAGGTTGAATTGAAAACGGCAACAGGTGGTAACATGAGAATGCGCAAAGGTAAATAATTCAGTAATTTATAGTTCTAATACCATGCACCACATTGATATCTAATGTAATGTTTAATACAGATAAAAATGTAGTTGAGTTGAATGTGTATGTACAAAAGTAAAATATTTCTCAGTAGGTCTAGAGCTGTTAATGCTTAAATCCTTAGCACAGCAGTGTATCTTGATACTGTCACTAAACAGCTTTGGAGTTGCACTGTGCTGCAGAAGATTTACATTTTTACCTCTAAAACATCAAGCTTTTTAAAAATCACATGTACTTTACTTACCACCGTTCACCAAAATATTTAGGGGGAGATCCCTTTCCTTGAAGCTCTGGGCAAACTGACGGACAGAATGCAGAGAAGCAAGGTCCAATTTCCTGAACTCCACTGGAATGGACAGGAACACACACACAAAGGCACACAAGTCAGAGCTATAGTAAATGGATTATTCCTGTGAGCAGTTTTGCTGGTAAAACATCAAAGAGTGTATTAATCATCTCATCCAGTAGGCACTCTGTGGGTACTTTCTCCACAGTACTCACATCACTGTTTCCATTTCCTCAGTATATTATAGCAAATCTAAAACTTCCTAATGCTTTCTGAACCCATCAAAGCTTAACACATAGTTATAGAAACTCTAATGTATAATAAGACAAAAAGAAGAAGAGGCCAATACCCATGAGCATGTGTATAAATGTAAAAATGACTGTTTTAGTGTGTCCATGCAAAGGAATTAGACTGATGATGCAGAACAATGAGTTAAAGAAAAAAAAAAGGCAGATGCATTTATATTGTGAGGAAATCTATTTTGATTGGCTGTTAAAAAGGATGATGATACAATCACTTATTTTTCTGTAATTTAGACACTCACATTGTGAGACAAAACTACCAGTACAAAACCTTATTCACTCTGCTTTAGGTCCCAGGCACAAAGTTACAATTTATAACAACTTGCGTATACATAATGACAGCATTTATGTATTTGTTGTTGGCTTTAATTTCAAGTCAAGTTCAAGTTGTGTTTGTCATATGCAAGGTTAACACAGGGTTAACAGTACAATGAAATTCTTAGGATGAGAAGAACCGATTTGACTCGCAAAAAAAAATAAATCATAGAACAAACAAGAAAATACAAGGAATTTTACATTTTATCAATACTGATGGGTGAAATTTGTAGTTTTCATCAAAGGAAGAGCTAAGTTATCCTCTACTAAGCACAATGTTATAAAACAGCCATCAAAATTGAGTTTAAATTTTTGAATTTACAAGTACAGAAGTCCCTCACTACTTCGCGGTTCGTTTTTCGGAGACTCGCTCTTTTGCGGTTTTTCAAAGTAAGATTATGTAAGTAAAATTGATGGGATGAGCTGAACAATCGGCGTGAATTTTTTTAATTTAAAATAAATTATTTTAAATGATTTAGCACCTGTGTGCAGTCCACAGCTGGGAGAAGCTCCCTTCTGCAGCTGATCAGCTAATCTCTGTTCTGCAGCGGAGAAGTGGGCGTGGCTAAAAGCGCTGCAGGTAGCAGAGAGGAGGCAGAGAGGAGGCAGAGAGCTGAAATCATGACATTCTGTGCTCTTTTGGAACGTTTAGTTTAGAAACATTGTTTAGAATATTGCAAGAGTGTGGGAAGGGTTTAAAACACCTTTATATACTCTGTGTGTATATATATATATATATATATATATATATATATATATATATATATATATACTTATACTTATTACTTGTACTACTATTCCTACTTCGCAGTTTTTCACTTATCGTGGGACTTCAGGGTACGAATCCTCCGCAATAAACGAGGGACTAATGTATGCTTTTTTTTTTTTCAGAAATTTAGCTACTTTCATAGCTAAATATTTTCTGCTCCACTTTCACAGATTTGTAATGCTTCAAGTTACCAGTTACCACATTAAATTAAGATCCAAACTTTAATTCCAAAAATCTTTTTACATAAAAACTAAAATAAAATCAAATAAAACTATGCACCAAATCTGATAAAGTACCACTTTCAGCAGTAGAAGTGGACCATAATCTCCACAAGCTTCTCAGAGAAACTCTATTCAGGACCTATTTTCAGCCTCTGTTTCCTTATCCGTTTTGTTGTTTACCATTTCAATAAATAAAACCAAAGATGGACTTTGGTTTTTGTATCAGAGTTTGTGAATTAGTAGAAAGGCTTTCCCACTGCAGACAGCAGTACAGAGTCATTTCCAATCTTCAGCAGCAAATTGAAAACTCATTCCATCGAGAAGTGTTTTAAATTGTTTCTCCACTATTCATCCATGTCTCTAGATATTGCAGTATTACATTTCAAGCACTTTTAGATAGTCACTGGGTTTTTTTTAGGTAAATCTAATGTTTGTATATTATCTTTTTGGTTGGTTCTTACAGAAAAAAAGAATAATAAAATCAACAATTTGTTTAAAGCCACATTAAACAAATACTGTAGTTCACAAAAATACTCCTGCAACTACAAAAGCAGTATACGTAATATACAGTATAAATATAGCAGTATACATGTAGCGTAAAATTACGTAAGAAAGCACAACCCATAAATACAGACTGATGTTTGCTTGTAAAAAAAACGCAATCGCCTGCTGTCAAAAGGTGGGCAGTAATGTTTGTCTGAGTGTGTGTGTGCATGTGTTAAGTTTGTTGTGATAGCAAAATATCTCATGAACTCACAGACAAATTTTAAGAAAACTCAAAGTAATTACTGGATGTGCATTTGCAACTGACTGACTCTTGAAGTCAACTGAATTGAACAAGGTTGCTACTGCTAATCGATTTTAACAAACAAAAATGGCTATAACGTCATGAACTGTGTGACTAATAAGCTACAACTTAGTGTGGTATAAGCTAGGAACAATCCCTAACGCATAGTGCAGGTGCCAACAGACTGCACAATATCTTTGTTTAAAACTTAGCCAATAACTATTTAACTTTACTCTGTCAGAAAAAAACAAAAAAACTAAGACAAATTTTATTTTGGCAGTAATCTTTGAACAGCTACAACTGATTAACTTCTGAGGTCAACCCAATTCAATATGGCCGCCACAGCCAAAATGTCCATTTCAAACAAAAAATGTCTATAACTCAGTTGCTTTACGGATATTGAGCTAAACTTGTGTGATACACATACTCCGAGACCTCTCAGTATCACTTGAGAATGTTTTATTTACTTTTTTGTTATTTTACATCTAGACTGAACTATTGCATTGTTTTGTTATCTGTGTGTCCAAAAACTTAAAAAAGTGCTCAGTTAATCCAAAATGCTGCTGCCAGAGTCTTAACTGGAGTTAGCAGAGATCATATCTCTCTAGTTTTAGCTTCTCTCCAATGGCTCCCTGTCAAATTCAGAATTGAATTCAAAATCTTACTTCTAACCTACAAAGCCCTCAACAACCTAGCTCCATCTTATATTAGAGCTCTCAATGTTCCATGTTTTCCTAACAGAGCACTTCGCTCTCAGACTGCAGGCTTACTTGCAGCTTCTAGAGTTTCCAAAAGAAGAATGGGAGGAAGATCTTTCGTTTATCAGGCTCCTCTCTTGTGGAACCAACTTCCAGTTTCTGTCCATGAGGGCGACACATAGTCCAGTTGTAAGACTGGGATTAAGACTTTCCCTTTTGATAAATCCTATAGTTATGGTTGACTTGTTATGCTGACACATGCTTAGACTACGGTACTAGAGGACACATTGACCACATTTCTTAAAATGAATTGTTACAAATGAATAGTTTTCATTTGAAATTGTTTCTATCTTAACACATGATTCTCGACCTGCCATTGTGTATCTGTTCCTCTTCCTGTTCCTCTCAAACCCAGCTGGTCGAAGCAGATGGCCTCTTGTTCTGAGCCTGGTTCTGCTGGAGGTTTCTTCCTCATGAGGGAGCTTTTCCTTTCCACTGTCGCCTTCATGCTTGCTCAAGATGCAATGAAGTTAAACTCAAAGCAGTCTGCTCCTCAGATAAATAATGTTATTAACTTACTTTTTACGAATATGGATGTTTCTGTAGAGTGCCCTGAGAGGACTTCTGTTGTGACTTGGCACTATATAAATAAACTGAACTGAATTGAATTATTTTCAAAATGTGACCAAAAAGACTAAAACTCCGACACAAAAGTAGGGTGATGTACATTCTTCTGTGGAATGCTATATCTTTAAATTTACCATTGTGCTAATTATCTGCATTTACTAACAAAGATGTGTTGTCTTCTTAAAATGACAGGGCAAACCACCACATTGGACTATAGACAGACAACATTCATACTAGTTTCAGTTCATGAACCGACATATGATAGGATATTGTATAGCAATCACAGTTTTAGAAAGAATAGTAAGTCTTTGTTACAACAAGGATGTTAAGTAAAGAACCATGAGGCCATTCAGTGTGACATGTCTCAAGATGCATAAAGCTTTAGGATTATTCACATGGTTGGGCTGTTTTTAATATAACTGACATATAACAGACCTTAATCCAAACCAAAGCCTTCAAATTCATACCGTATTGTGCATAAGCCTGGATATGTGAAGGTCTTTGGTTTCTGCTGGGTTATGAAGTACTTTTTATATCCAGCTAATCTTTTTTTATTCGCAGTTGTCAAGGTACAACACAAGAACACAGCCATTTCACAAGAAGACCACGACTTTCAAAAAACAAGAACATCTTTTTGTACCTTTCTATAACTTTAGTATGTCTAAAGTGGTTGAAATATTAAAGGACAAAGACAGGAAGAGGACTGAGAGGGAGCAGAGGAGAATTGATGAGACTGATAAAAAAATGGCTGCTGTGCTGGATGAGAGCATGTCTGTTTCTGATGAAGATCTGATAGCAGTCTTATCTCCCAAGACATGCCACTCACCTCCTTCCGAGTGTGTGTTTAAAAAAAAAAAAAAAAAGAGTACAGAGAGGACAACAAACAGATCATGTGTCTACAACTGAATGATGGAGAGTATCAATGTGTCTCAGTTTGTGTGTATGCATTTAAATGATACATGTGCCAAACTCAAACAAATGAATGAATGGTTATATATATTTTAAGTGTCAGTAAGAAGAACAACAATCTTTGAGTACACTCACTTTGTAACCTCAACACATGAAACTACTGGTAGTCTGGAGACTAAGTTTATTTAGACATATTCTATCCCAGCCAATATGTCACAGAAAACTTTTACAAGCACAAAAACGTAAGACATAAAATACATTTTTATAACAAGAAAATCCTCACTATACACATATAATACTTAAAACACAATTAACCTGGATTTCAAACCTTTCTTGATTCTAAATACTTTACCTGATTACTGAGAACATTTCTCTTCCAAACAAAAACACATCCTATATCTCACTTTAGCTCTTTCTAACACAAGTACAGGT